TATAATTCAGAGGATTAAGTGAACCATGTGAGGGGCATTTAAAACCCTTGCTCTGTCTCGGGTTTGGGGTTCTGCTTTTGGCCACTTACTGTGTGAGCTATGGCAAATTTGTTAGCCTTTGCAAGCATTGGTTACCATATCTGAAATGGAGATGATAATAGTGCCTATCTCATGTCTTGTGATGGGGATTAAATAACAACTGTGAAGTAGTGAGCACGTAGGTATCTAGCAAATCGTAATCATTCAGTAACCTTTGCAAATTTTATGATTATGTTTAATTCAACTTTGGAGGTCTGGAAAGGCTTCTTCAGAGAAGGGCCTTTGACACCAAAACCTGAAGGATGAGAAGAAATTAAGTGAAGGAAAGGAGGTAGGGAGTGGGGAGGAAGTGAAACTGTGCACCATAGGGTTAATTAGGTTAAATCTGTCACCAGCAAGACCCCTATTGACACCCTTCTTCCTCACGGGAATGCTAACCTTATCTTTTTGAAGCAAATAACAGGAAAAGCTCCACAGGCCTAGAGCAGTTTGAGATTGACCACTGACTCACACCAGAGCAGAGGGACCATGGAGTGTCTGACGGTTACTTCTACCTCATTATACCATTAAAATCTCGGCCCAAGGAGGAGCACAAGCTTCATTAACATAACACAGGATACTTGTGTAGGCATGTCTTCTGAATACGCCCGGCAACCTTATGCCCATCTTTACATGCAATGACAAAGCTCCCCTTTCCGAGTATTCATCCTAATATTCAAAGAAACCCACTCACCCCCAAAGGCTAACTTTGGAAGTTAATCTCCATGATTTCCGTATTTGCTGCAGATAAACTTTCCTTTGTGTGACAACTCCACCTGGTGTAGTCTCTATCTGTAACTCACCAAGGAGAGAACTCAACGTTAGTTTGGTTACAAAACATCCCAAATAGAACATTCAGGTACAGAGGGCTCAAGACTTGTTTTCAGTTTGGAACCTGAACAAAGGAAAAAGCATTCAGGTGTCCTTTGCAACCTGGGCCTCCGTTGGTGCCAAAACAGATTTCACACCTAAGTTTCATTTATACGTTGCTGGCAGCCATATTTCTGCTTTCACATCCCTATCACTGATCAAGGCTTGTAATGAGAACCCCTCTCTTTGTGGTGGTGTTGGGGGCGGTGAGGAGTATGTAAGGGGCTCTGGCGGCTGCCTCCGGACCAGGCTGTGGGCTGGGCAGGCAATGAAAGCAGTCACTTATAGTTATCCCCCCCTTTATTCCCCTCTATCCGGCCTTTCTACTGAATCCAGGAGTCCCCACTGCATGGTAAACAGACTCTTTATTTTACCCTCTATAGAACTCATCCTCTGCTTCCTTACCTTAACTGTATCCTAGGGTTATTATGTTAATTATCCCAGACTTGGGATAGAAGAGCAAAGCAAAAAAGAAGGGACCAAATATTCCCAACAACATAATACAGGTTCAGAACAATTTAACCCTCTGCCTTTGTGTAAAAGAATTCTTCCCCTAAAGTTCAGGCTCTTCAATGCTACCTCTGTTCCCTGCCTATCAATCTGATTCAATTGACTATACGCCCTTTGCTCTGCACACTGGGGCACGGCTGGGGCTACACAGGCATTCTTGTTCTTCTTCTGATCCACAAGCATGTTTTAAATTTATGGTTTTGGATCTTGCTGTTCCTGTAAACCTAGAAGGCTCTACTCTCAGAACTTGTTATGACAAGCTCCTTCTCATCATTCAGGTGTCTGGCTCAAAGGTTAGTTTGGAGAGGTCTTCCTTGATACCCTTATCAAAAACAGCACCTCGTGTCCCATTTCCCGCCTTTATTTTCTCCATAGTATTCACTACTATCTGAAATTATTTAACTACTTGACTCTTTTCCCCACTAGAATGTAAGCACTGGGAGTGATGAACTATTATATCTTCATCTCTGTGAACAGCACATAGAACAATGCTTTGTACACACTGAGTGCTCAGTAAGTATTGGCAATAAATGAGTGAACAAATATATATTTTTTAAAGATTTATTTATTTATTTGAGAGAGCGAGAATGAGAGAGAGAGAGTGCATGAGAGGGGGGAGGGTCAGAGGGAGAAGCAGGCTCCTTGCTGAGCGGGGAGCCTGCTGTGGGACTCGATCCCGGGACTCCGGGATCATGACCTGAGCCAAAGGCAGTCGCTTAACCAACTGAGCCACCCAGGCACCCAACAAATAAATTTTTTTAAATGAAAGAGAGGCTCTAAATTTTAGAGTTTAAAGATGTGGTTGGTGAGTTCAGTTCTTTAGGATGTAAAAGTAGAAATTCAGAAAGAAATCTTTGGGGACTTCCATTCCATATCAGAGCCATAGACCAAGGCTTATGAGTAAGGATTTCATAAAAATCTGGAAGGTCAATTATTTGCCAAGCTCCTGCTATGTACCAAGCACTGTATTCAGGAAGGGATAAAACGATGAGCAGAAAGATTTATGGTCCCAGCCCTTGAGAACTTCCAGTTTAGTCTTTTCTGAGTTCCTTTGGATTTCCAGTAAACAGTGGTATGCTGGAGACTGCTTGAGACATACTGGAGGTATGCTTGCCACCTGCAAAACCTTATCGTTAAATTTTCAAGACTATTTCAAACCAGTTCTTAAAAATCATTATTAAAAATAAAATTATATAAACTTACAAGTAAATTGTATTAAAAACAAAGATAATATACATTCAAAACTTGTCATTGCCTAATTATCTTGTAACTACAGTGCTATTATCTGTGCTCTTGAGGTTATTTTTGTTGATCGTATCTGTATGGTAGAAATACTATATGATGAGCACTTTTTCCCAACTCCACGATCAGTGACATCACAATGGTAGCTTGGGAGTATATACACCATGGAAACTGGCAAACACCATGATCAGGTCTTACCTACTCACCCAGCTCCCCCGCCCCACTCCCCACATACACACTGCCAGCAACCTATCAGGGGTAGTGTGTTGGCAGCTACTGAATTAGAGAGGTACAATACCTAGGTCCTCCAATAAAGGAAGAAGAAAAGCAGAACAACTTGTTTTGGATCTGAGGAAGAGTCCTAGACTTATGCAATAATAGAGTACAAGTTGTAAAGTAAATTTCTAAAACAACTTATTGTACTATGACTTTTATAACTTTAGAATATTATCTTTAATAACTTATTTTGAAAACAAATGCCTATTTTGAAAACAAAAGCAGACCACTTATTTTTCAGGGTTTAAAAATTAATTATAAAATATTTCAGATATATGGAAGCAATAATAATTAGAATTTTAAAGGATAATAGTAATATAACAGTCTACTGCCCCCCCGACCATAATAATGTGGAACTAGTAATTCACCTCTGACTAAACTATAGGTAACAGAAAACTCCCTGAAATGACATGCAGGATTAATGTCCTCCTCTTTAGAAAGGTCAATCTGGTGACCCACAGTAGCTGCTCAAGAAACAGGTTTTGCGGTAGTCTAGGAGAGCCTGAATCAATTTGAGAAAATACAGTCAAGGACAAAAAAATTGGATGTGGTGATGGACAAGAAAAAGATACCAAGATAATTCCAAGGATCTGAACAAGTGTGTATCAGTATCAGTGACTGAATCCCTGACCACACCCCTACTGCTCCCTACAGCTCCCGACCCTGGAGAGATTGTTAAAATTTAGGTTGCTGGTGCTCCACCCCAAGAGTTACTGAGTCAGTAAATTTGAGGGTAGAGCCTAATAATTTCCATTTGACAAGTATGCAAAGGCTGGTGCTGCTGGCGAGAGGACCACACTTTTAGAACTACTGCCTTACAGTAACTGCTTATTTTGCTAAAGCTTCAGACATGTCTTTGTTAGACCAGCAGGGGGAGACAGGTGTAAAATTTATCCTCTAAAAATAAACTGCCGTATAATACTAAAGCTCCTTGAAGTTATGATGTTGCCCTGAAGACTTCTGAGCTATTTTGGAGAGCAGCATGTAAGTTGGCATCAGGTGAGATAATTTTCTGTTGTTTACGTAAAAATATATTTTGGTAGGACTAATGTCCAAATTCCTGCAAGCCGGCCCTGGATAAGAACTTGGAATCTGGAGTCACACAACTCTGTCGCTTACAAGCCATATGACTTTGGGAAAGTTATCTTCTCTGATCTTGTTTCCTCCTCTTTAAAATAGTCCCCGATTTATGGAATTGTTAGAGGGCTAAACGTTCTTGGAACTGTAGTTGGCTATTATTATTAAAACTCTAGTTACTTTCAGCTCTTTAGCCTCCCCAAATTTTAGGAAGAGTCCAGATATGTTGCTAAGTTTGGTTTTTATAACCAGTGCTCCCGTTATTCAGGTAGAGAATTGGAAACACCTGGAAGGTGATTGTTTTGAAAAATCCTAACCTCCCCATCCAAAATACCTAGGATAGGTGAGTTTTTATTAACATGCCCGGCCCAGAGAGCTCTATCTATATTTGATCTCCTAGACTTCAAAGCCTGAAGATGGGTAAGTGTTTTTTGGACCCGGAGTTGAGATGGAACAGAGCAGAAGGATGCTGGTTTCATCTTGGCAGAGCACTCAGGCGGGGTCAGACCAGCCCAGACCCCAACCCGGGCAGCCAGCCCTTTCCTAGAGTTGACATCTGCCGGGCATGCATATGTGTAAAGAGAGTTGCGATCTGCGAGGTTGCCAGTTGGTTCCCGTGTTCCGCCGAATTCGCTAACTTCTTAGGTACCCGTCGCTTCCCGAGACGGGACACACCTGTCCGTGACCGCGCTCTTATTGGTCCGACACTGACACTAGCCTTGTGGCGTCAGCTGCAGGGGCTCCTCCCCTGAGGGGAGAACCCGGGCTAGGGTGGGGTGACGTCAGCGAAGGCGTGTCCCGGCCAAGAGCAGTGGGCGGGGTCTGCGGGAAGGTGTGTCGGGGGCTGGTTGGGGGCGGGACCGGGTGGCATTGACGTCACAGGGCGGGGCGGTGCAGCTGGCGCCCGGGTAGGTGAAAAGCGGCGCCGGGCGTCTGCGCTCACTTAACGCGGCGAGCCGCATAGAGCAGCTTCTTTCTCAGCTCCCTCCCGCGCTGCCAGTCATGTCCCTAAGAAGCAGCCTCTCGCGTCTCCTCCGGACGCGAGTACAGTCCGTCCTGAATAAGTCCGTTCACTCGGTGGCCGTGATCGGAGCCCCGTTCTCACAGGGACAGGTGAGAACCGGGACTTCGCACCGTGGGGCAGGACCTAGAGAAAGCGGGGGTGGGGTGAGGGACTGGGAGGCGAGGAGAAGATGGGGAGAAACGGAGGGGGACGAGGTGGTGGTTTCCCGCGATTGGGCACCGAGAGAGCACGTGGGGTTTCCCCTGGTAGAAGATGGGGAAGGAGAAAAGAGGTGGAGAGCATCCTGCTTGCGCTGCGGGCGGGGGGCCGCGGAGGGCTGGCGGGTCTCTGCGGCCTTCCTCCCGAGGAGCGAGAAAGTGGTGGGTCCCGCTTGGGGTGTTGGGGGAGAGGGGAGGGTCAGGATTTCAGGGAGGGGCTGGAGGGGGAGAAACCGGCCAGAATACCCGGTGGAAAGTCGAGAGAGAAGAGGTTAAAGAGAACGACCGAGGATTTAAGGCTCCAGGGTCTGTTCTCCGAAACCATTGGTTGGCGGGGAAATTGGCGGTGCCTTCTCTAGCGGCGGGAGGACGGGAGGGGCTGTTTTGTTCTCTTCAATGGAAGAAACCTGCAGTCGTGGAGAGCTCACTTCTCAGTGAGCCCAGGCTCAGGCCTCCGCCAGACAGACAGACACACACACACACACACACACACACACACACACACACCCCACCCCACCCCGCCAACCACCAGATCCAGACCTGCTCAGCCCCTTCCTCTGTCTTGGCCTCCGCCTGTTCTTCCCACAGCCAGGGGCTTGCTTGGAGGTTGATTTGATTCCAGTAATTGTTGTTTTTTGGTCCTTCCCTGCAAGTGTTTGAAATGAGCAGACCTCAGGTGAAAATAATAAAAGGAAGGGCTGATGGTGTCACAGGTTTTCAGAGGGATCTGTTGGGAACTATAGAATAGCAGATTTCTGTATTTTGTGAAATAAAAGGGTCTTATTTCTAACCCTTTTCCCTCACATCTAACTGTGTAATTTATGTGACAGAAAAGAAAAGGAGTGGAGTATGGTCCTGCTGCCATTAGAGAAGCTGGCTTGATGAAAAGACTCTCCAATTTGGGTAAGTGGCTGGATTTTAGATGTCTGTGATGGCTGGTAACAGACCAGTTCTGTCTCCTCTCCTATCCAGGGACTGCACAGGATCTACTTGTACTTGGGAAGCCTCTCATCCTCCCTTAGATCCCATCTGTGGTTTGAGGTCTGGGAGTCTTCAGGCAGAGTCTTGTCGGCAATAAAGAGAGTAACTGTGTGGAAGGCAAGGAAGTGGGGGCGGGGGGGGCAAGCATAGGGAATGCAAGACAGTGGAAAGAATGCTAGCTAGCCCCAGCTCCAACTGCTCAGCCTTTCCCTCTCAAATTCTAGCTCTCTGAACTCAATTAGGAGGTGCTTCTGATTCATCAGTCTAGCCAGTTCCCTCTCTTCATATCCTTTGTTTCCTCCCCAGATGAATAGCTTTATATTACTGTAGGCAGAGCCTTAGATCAGTGTTTTTCAAACTTCCCTGATTATGAAAATCACTTGAGTTACTTGTTGAAAATATAGGTTCCTCGGCTCCTCCATGGAATAGTCTGATTTATTGGCTCTGGGGTGGGGCCCAGACATGTATGTACATTTTCACAAGTGCCCAGGTAATCTGCAGGAAAACTGCGGTCTTGTAATTAGGATAGTACTCTAAACTTGCAGAACCCGACCCAAAGACAAATGCCATTTATATGGTAATAGAGAACACTTCTTTTGGTAAGAGGGCACCAAATTCCAACTGTTATGATAGGAAGGTTCTTCCTTTCATCTAACCTGAATGTTTCTAGCTGCTGTTTGAGGCCATTTCCTCCATTCATATTAGGACAATTCACAATCTTTTCTGAAGCCGGAAGTGCAAAAGGCATGGCAGCAGCCAGCTGCAGGTGCTGCAGGTATCAGTGGGAAATCTAGGTGAGCTGCAAATCCCCTCCCCACTCTTGCTTTGAAACCTCCTCTGCTGATCATTGAGTCCATTCCAGGGGGTGGATCATTTCCTTCTAAAACACAGGACGAGTGAAGTCACCAAAGCCACCTTGAGTTGAGGTGTACTTCCTGTACCTCTGGCTGCATCTACATATGGTGTCTTTGGCTAAATACTCAAAACTCTTCTCTGTTGAATAATTACAGATCCTTCTTCAGTAGGGTCTCTTATTCCTTTTAATGACTCTCCAGGTTCACCACCAAATATGAAAGAGAAATGAAGATTTAGTTTTAATGTGTCATCAGTTACCTAATGGGAAGACGTTTCTATTCCTGCTTATAAATGAGGATACTGTCCCTTTAAATCAGCTGTACACATTCAGCCTTTTTATCTTTTATTATTTTTTAAGATTTTATTTATTTATTTGACAGAGAGACACAGCGAGAGAGGGAACACAAGCAGGGGGAGGGGGAGAGGGAGAAGCAGGCTTCCCGGGAGCAGGGAGCCCGACGCGGGGCTCCAATCCCAGGACGATCCCAGGACCTCAGGATCGTGAGGTGAGCCAAAAGCAGACGCTTAACGACTGAGCCACCCAGGCACCCCACATTCAGCCTTTTTAAAAGGCAGCATTTACACCGAAGAGGACAATCTCTGGGAATCACTATTTTTTTAAACACTGGACAAACTCTTCCAGCCCATCTGATGAACTGGGCCTGGCCTTGAATTGCCTGCTCAGTGCTCAATTCTACCTTAAGAGACTGACAAGAATCAATTTCGGCCTCTTACAGGGGACACATTTATAATATTCAGCTGAGGCTGCTGAATGAGGGGGAGGGGCACATCTGTGGCAGCTTCTCTTATTAGACCTTTCCTGTCCTAGCTCATGGTATTTTTCCACTCCAACCTAGAAAAGCCATTCTCCCTTAAATCCTACATCCTCAAATACCTCCTCTATAAACTCTCAACCTAAAGTGATGGGGAAGCTGCAGTTTTTATTTTGGTCTTCCCTTTTTTTTCCCCCCAGATATTTTTAGTCTTACAATTTATATCCTTACCCTGTAGCTGACTGGTAAGCCAGTATCACCAGCAGCCCAAAATAGAATCTCATTGCATATTAATAAGAGTGTGGCACTCAGCAGATTTGTGGCATGTGCTTTTGGCTAATCTCCAAAAATAGGTTGGAGAAAAGTACCAAGAGAAGTTTCAATTGCTTTATTGTGAAACAGTACTAAAGTACTAGAACACTTTCAAACAAGTAGCGTGGGTCAAATTTCAAGGCAGGGAAGACGGAAAGGTAACTTTCACAAATCCCTTTGTTCCTTGCCTTCAGCTCTGATCTCACAGGCTGCTGGTGTTGCCATGGCATTGGCCAAACTTCCTGTTTTCTTGAATGAATGGATTTGATGTTAGTGTCTGGGTTTGGTTTTCCCTTTTTTTCCTGGGTTTAGTAAGGACACTCGGTTCCTCTCTCAGGTAACCCCTTATCTGAGCATTTGTGGAGAGCCTGGGAGAGACGAAGAGGCAATTGCTCTGGCAAGGCTCAGATTTGGTGCTTCTGCTCCTGACTCTGGTGAGCGCTGAAAGCCACGCTCCTAGGCCCCCTCCTTTTTTTTTTCTTCAGAAGTTGAAGGAGTGTTCTGTGGGGGAGAGCTAGGTGTAAACCTCCGTTTAATAGAGGTGCCAGCCACGGAAACAACTATCTAAACTGCGGCTGGGACCTGCCCAGAGTCCTGGAGTTCGTAGAGCTGCGTGGGAGCTACTCTGGTTCCTCTCAACTAGGCTAGAGACATTTGTTCTTCCTGTTCCATTTGGTGCTCCTTCAGATAGCAGACCAGGAATCTCTTCTGGTTGAGACCCAGAATCTGGTCTGCTTCAGGAAGAACGGATAGAGGACCTGAGGTAGTTTAACAGGACGAACTGAGATCTGAGAACTCTTTGGTACAGATTGATGTGTGAGTTCAAGGGTGGGTATTTGCTTTCAGTGGTTGGTAGAGGATGTTAGCATTCATTAGTTGTATGATCATGATACTTCAGCCTGGCTTCCACCCTGCTGTTCCACTGCAATACCCTTGAGCAAGCACACTGATTTGTTGGCCTTTATTTTGCTGAACCTCTCTATTGTACAACTGACCGCTTTATTCTGGAAATCCTGTTAGCAAACACATCCCTCTGAGTCTGTCTCCATTGACTAGTCCTTCCTGGACTCCTTTGTGGGATCTTCCTCTTCTTCCCAACCCTTAAATGTTGACCCCAATGTTTCTCCAACTTTGTTCTAAGGAGCCTCATCTCGCTCTCAGATGTCTCAAACTCCATTTGTTCAAAAACAAAATTCCTTATCTTCCTCCTCAAGTCAGTTTCTCCTGCTGTCCTTCCATGGTCTATTTCATGCTGTCACCCATTATCCAGTTACTCAAGTCAAACTAGAAGACCATCACAATTCTTTGCTCCTTCCCTTTTGTGCCTTACATCTGTTGATCACAAAGTCTTGTTGATTCCACCCCCCCCGCCCCCTGCCAAATGATTAGAATTTTTCACCATGATGGTGCTGCTGTAGTTCTATCTCCTCACACTTGACTATAACTTTCCATTGGTATCTTTTGTCCCTTTCTTACCTTCCTTGGTTCACATTCTTCGCTGCCACCAGAGTGAGCTTTCTAAGACCATTTCTCCTTTGCTTAGTCTTTCCATGGCTTTCTTTTACATGCATCCATGCTTCAGTCTTGTATTCATATACCATCTCTGCTAATTTGCCATATTATTCACTTTGTATTTCTTTAAATTGGCTTTAAAGGTTAATACTTTTAAAACGTAGCCTGAACCTATAATAAGCAATGAAATCTCAGGCTTGTTCTAGGTACATTTTTTCTAATACACTTTCATTTAATAATTTTATATTTTGATATTTGTCCTTCGACCACTAGGTTGAAGTGTAGAACACATAGCACCATAATCTGACCTTCATCTACCTCTTTAGACTTCTCTCCACCCACATTCTGCCATATTTTCATTGCAGCTAGAGTTGTGGGCACTTGACCTAGGCTCCACCAATAGAAGCATGCATCCTAAACTTTGACTTGAAATTCAAGAAGGGGCAGCAAAGAATTCATTCTGTGATGGGCACGGTGGTAGCCATACCAGCAGTGGCTTCTGTCCAGCATCATGGGGTCAGCCATGGCGGCTCATACAGTGCCTTTCCCTAGCAGTGGAGGTGATAGCAGCAATAGATCTCTACTGGACCGTCCTGCAGTGTGACTTCTGGAGCCATTATTGCTGGTGATGTGGCCTTTAACCCGGATACTGGCCCTCTTAAAAGATTCTGGGAGTTACCCAAATTGAGTAAATTGCTTTTCTGCTGTAATTAGCTAGAATAGGTTTCTGTTGCTTGCAGTTTAGAGATCCTGATTGATATCTAGTTTATAAATTCTGGTGAGAGAAAAATTGCCATGTGGATACTCCACGTCCTCTCTCTAGCCCTTTGATAATAAATTCTTATTCTTTTGTTTGCCCTTTTCCCTAGTACTTAACACAGTCTTCTTGTAAGTTAATATAACTCATTAGGTTACAGTTTCTTTGGCCTTTAGCTAATTTAGGACTAGATTTTAGTCTCTTTGGGTTTTAGCAGCTCCCTGTTCTCTTGTTCCTTTGATTTTTGAACCATCACGTCTCTTAATGTGACTTCTGAAAACAGCCTTAAGTTTTAACTAAGGACATTTTTAAGTTTTAGGCATGCCTGACTGTACTAAATAGACCAACTTTATTACCGTGACTTAAGATCATTTTCAATGTTCTAGATCTTAAGCATATATCTTAATGGGGTTACAAGACTGTATACATCTGCTAAAATTCATTGAACTTAAAATGTAAGTAATATAAAGTATGCATCAAAACTTTTTAAACATCATTTTCAGGTTTACTTTTCTAGGAGCAGCTTTTTAGTCACTAAAAACTATAACAAGTTCTTTCACTAATTTCTATATTGAAAAAATTTGAGTGCTGCTAAGGTTTGGTACTGGGAATATAATAGTGGACAAAAACAAAGACTTGTTATCTTGGAGCTGTCATTCTAATGAAGAGTGGTTGGAAACAGACTTAAGTAAAACATACAGTATGTCAGATGC